CACTCGACGCCAGAGAGCACAACAGAAGGATTCGTCTTTGTTATGCCGGAGTCGCGTCCCGCTATCTCGGGATTTGAGATTATGCTCCAGTACCTTTTCCCCGTGTTCGATACATTCTCACTATACGGACGCCCAAAGAAGTTGATTGCAGACGTTCTAGACACCCGCGGTCTGATGTTCGCTATGCCTTCCGACAGGCGCTACGGATACTTGGAGATGTGGGACGTGGTGGGCTTGATCAACACCGAGGGCAGCGACAAGTGGTCAGAGCGCCACTGGAGGAAGCAATTGAAGGACCTCACGTCCACAAGAATGGTAACTGCGAACCAGGACGCGGAATCCATCTACAGTCGCGCCAGCCGCAGGAATACCGTCAGCCGGGCAGGCTTCACACCTCGTAATCTGCGATTTGAAGACCAAGGCTCCATTCGCTCCAGCCCGTCCACACGCGCGTCATCTCCTACACGCAAGTTCCCAGACTTCGAAGTGCAAGCGCCGCGTCGCGTCGGAACAGCTCCCGCAGCAAACCCATTCGGTACCCCACGCCATCAGCGATCTGTGTCAGAGCAAGTCAACGGACGCAACGAGAACAATCCATCTAGATTCACGCGAGAGGAGACGCCATACGAAGACGAGCGACCGCCGACGCCTCCCCAGCATCGTATACTCAACGGTTCGTCGAACGGGGCGGTCCAGCCTTATGATTCGTCTGCGTCAGATTACGACGAGAGCCCCATCAAGGAGCCACAGAACCTTCCACCGCCGCCTGCAGATCTGTCTGCTCCACCGCAAGGTTATGTCGACCTTCCTCCGACCCAGGAGCACGCTGCCAATCAAAAGCCGCCCATTCGTCCCAACATGCCCATGGCTAAGCCAAACCCTGCAGTCGACTCTGCCACGCTTCAGCAAATGGCTGACGCTTCACATGGATCCTTCCCAGGGGGCGTAGCTGCCGCTGGCGCAGTCGGGGCTTGGAGAAATCAGGACACCATACAGAGCAGACGCAGTGGTGACTACAACGCGTACGGTGATCAGGGCCAATCGATGTATCTTGGTGTCAACTCAAGGCCGCCTCCAACGAACCAAAACTCTGGGAACCGCCTGTCTACCATTCCCGCATCACCATACGTCGAGCATTCTGAGTTCGTCGACTCTCCCACAGGCTACCAGCCAACAGCTCCATCGGTCCCAGAACATAGTGAGTTGCCGCCACAGCCCCCCAGTCACGACCTCCCTTATCGTCCGCACCCCGAAAGCGGCGGCATACCCCGTAAACCAGTACCAGGTCGGTCTCCCCTAGCCTCGCAAGAGGATGACACCCTTTCGACCAGTAGCTCAAGACTCGACAGTTTACGAGAGGACGTAATCGACCCTGAAGCTCTCGACGCTTTCAACATCACACAGCCCACCCTGAATCGTCAGCCAAGCGGATCAAGTAGTTTCTACGACGATGATGCCATATCGACTTCCACGCCAGACTATGCCAGCATCGCTGAAGAGGAACCTGCGCCTCCTCCACGAAGAGTGCCTGAACGACGCGCCGACCGACCAAGAAGCGGCGTTCTGACCATGATTGGAGACCCGAATGTAAAGCTTCCCTCAGATGAAGATCCACATGGCTACAAGTCTGTTCTGGACCCAGCACAGGCGCCTGCAGCTGTTCCTAGTATTGACTTTGGCCCGACGTACGCGTTGGACTTTGATGGCAAGCGTCCGGGCACTAGTGGGACCATGACACAGATGCTACACGACAACAGCGCCTCGCGATCCAAGGAGAACCTTGCGACGACCCCGAACGAACAGCACCGGCTGTCCTATATCTCCGGTGCAGGTTCACCTAACCAACCCATGCATGCGCGCAGTGGTTCGAACTCTCCGCAGATCTCGGATTCACGACAAGTTGCATGGCAGCCGGCTGCAGCCTCACCACAGCAGCCGGACAGGACAAGGCTGGATCCTGAAGACTGGGTGATGCATCGCGCGGCGCATCAGCAGCAGCCTATAATGTATGGGCATGGCAGAAGCAAGTCGCACACCCCACCTCCTTTCGGTCGCACGCATTCTGGAGATTGGACTCGTACACACTCTGGAGATTGGAGTCATATTCAGCGGTCGCCTCAGGGTTCTCCAGGTCCTGCCCGTCCACCCAGCCGCCCTCTTAGCCGCGGTGCTGAGACACTGCTTAATCAACAGCCTACTACTTTGTCTGCTCGCGAGCAGGAACAGGTGGCTCGCATGACAAACACTCCTCTTCTGGACCTTTCGCAGAACACCAAGAAAGTGCAAAAGGAGCCTCCGACAGGTCTTACAGGTTACATCGATTATCGCGAGAAGGAGAAGGCGGCTCACAAGGCCAATCGCCAGAGTTTTACACCGACTATGCAAGCTGAGATCGACCGACGTACCTTGCAGACCCAACAGCGCCAAATGATGGAGGTCCAGCAACGCCAGCAAATGATGATGCAACAGCAGATGCAGCAGCAATATGCGATGGCTCAGAGCAACTATGCGCCGAGCATGATGGGTACTCCTAGTGTTATGGGTATGGGCACGCCAACCGGCATGGGTGCTCCGAGTGTGATGGGCGCACCGAGCATGATGGGTACCCCGAGTGTCATGGGCATGCCTACCGGGCCTGGTACACCGTCAGGTATCGTCGGAATGGCGTACTCCACACCGAGCCAGATGCACCCCATGTATCAGCAACAGCAGCAGCAGTACTTCCCCCAGCAGGCGCCAACCCCACAGATGAACGTCCCTGGAGGTTGGGTCTCCCCAGCGCAGACACCGCAGAGCCAGTATTTCCCACAGCCATCACCGCAAGGCTACGGAAACATGGCGCAGCAACAACAGCAGACTCCGCCCACGCAGGCTTACGGCGCAAGCTTCGACCAGGCGCAACAGGCAGCAAAGTACGCGCAGCAACAGCATCAGGGCCAGTACCGCCGTTAGATAGACGGGCTATCCGTTTAGAGAGTGTTGAGGTCATTCGGGATCGATTACAATTGGATTGAAGAGTATGAGACGAGATGCCGATGTTCACTGTATATATTTCACGTCTGCATCTTCTCGTACATAATACTAAGCATTGAGAGTGGGAGCTTTGGATTGGATTGCAGGCTCGCACGGTATAGCATGGAGATATTAATGGAGTTATGATGATTGAGAGTATGTTCTGACTACCTGACTACCTGCTGTGTTGCTATACGTAAGGCGTCTCTGGACTAAGCGTGTCTTGTGGTTCAGGTTGGTTCAAATACAAGCTTTCTTCCTGCGGGGGAACGATAGTTCGATAGAAGTCCCGATAGAAGTCCTCTTCTGAAGGCCTTGGGTATCCCTTGCGGAGCTTCTCCGATATGAGAAGCTGAGTGCGCGTCATGTGAAACCTTATCTCGGTCATAGGAAAATGAACTTGGAAAACTTTCTCTAACAGCCGTCCGAAATTGATAACTGAATTTGTGTCTTGACGATCCTCCCAACCCACTCGTTTCATCTCATGGTAGAAGGCATCGAGAAGGACATCCTTTGCTGACTTTCGGTAGTCAATCACAATGTGCGCCCCATAAGTCGCCACTCCTGCAAGAGCATACACCTTGTCTCGGATATCCTCGCAGTTGTGAGTACCAAATGTTTGCAGTAGCGGTTTGAGATCGACTCGTTTGCGTGGTCCCCGTTTCGTGGAGACAATTGACATGGCCGGACTGGTATTGATGGTTTTGTGAAGAGGCGAACATAGCCCTGCCGGAAGGCCAGACATGGTCAAGATATAATGATACAAGTGTTCGAGCTTGGTCCATTCAAGAATCTTGGAGCCACATTGAATCTCTATATCTCTGGCGATCAGGATCTCTTGAATGATCCACATACGTGACCAATATCTTCTTTTGCATAATGATAATATGCTGCGTAGTTGTTTATTACTCCAAGTAGCCACGCTTTTCAATTGTTTGGCAGATTCGCGCATACCCTTATCCTGATCGATGGAGAGTTGTGGCGGATCAATGGTATTCAACATCTGCATAGCAAGATCGCTATCATCCCCCTCCTTCCCAAGCCAGACCAGAACAGACCGAGCATTCGAGTAGAGAAAGCGCATCATCTGCACCTGATGGTTGCGCTCGTGGACGTTAGACTGCTGAATACACACTGCGTCGATCCAGAAAGGTCCGTAGTTCTCGTGACGTTGCTGCTGACGTAGAAAGTCCCGAAGATTCTCGCGCACTGGAAATCTCACGCCATTGATCTCAATGGTTTCAAGCACGGCGGTCCTTTTGTTACCCCAGGTGTAAGATAAGGCCGTGTAAGACGGACGGGGCCAGGGACTGTAGGTTTGCATGTCGCATTTGATGATGTCTTCGTCGCCTTCGGCGGGTTGGATTCTGAGCAATCTGAACTCATGGGTCAGCCGATCGACCGGGCATGACGTATAGGCGTCGGCCATGATATGTAGTTGATATGGACGGAGAGATTGTAAGAACTGCTGGTGATAGGCGATGCGATTCCGCGGTCAAAGAATGGCAAAGGCTGTGACAGGTGCTAGAAAGCGTCCGCACAAACAGCATAGCTGCTTTCTGAGCTCCAGCTTAGCTGGGTGGGCTGTGTTTCAAAGAAAATACTCACGGCCCTGGATATGCTGTCAGCTCACTATCCTATGCTCCCTTACGACCAATAGTATGCGAGTGTGTTGCTGAACGAGCATCTCCTCGCAAATCAAGATAACACGCTTTAAGTGATACGATCAGCCTTCCATCGGGACGATATAACGAACAAATAGATTTAGATCTTTGTGATTGACTGGAGCCTGTGTTCATGTGTAAATACCAGATGCCTCGGAAGGACGAAGTGCGGGGCATCCCAAACGAGACAGCTACCCCTCCATGCAGCTTTCACGCCGCTAACCCCATCCTACCTCCGTCTCCACACCACACCCTGCATGAGGCTCGTCATAGTATCCATCGCTCACGATCCTCGGCCAACCTTGTTTCCATTTGGTTCCAAGCCTAACTCCGTCCGACGACATTGCCGTGAACGAGGATCGGTGTCTCGCTGCTGAAGTTCTTTACGTCCTCCATGACCTCCTTGGTGCCCTCACTCTGCAAGGCCTTTCCGACACTCTCCGGGCTGTCAAACTCCATGACGGTGCTGATGGCGTATGGACCATCGGCGTTGAGCTCACTGACGGCGTAGGACTTGAGACCGTGGTCTTTCCAGTTCTTCATGGCCAGCGGCATGTGTGTCTTGAGGTAGTACTCCTTGTTAAAGGTGGAGCCCTCCTTGCGAGGGTAGAGGACGATAGCGGTGGCGCCGGACATGATGATGTATAGTTGGATGGTATCGGAGAGTTCTGTACGCTGTGAGTAAAAACCAACAGCAACTTGCAAGATGTACTGACTGTTGTAGATGCGATGCGCGGTGCTGAACAGTACTGACGTGGGAATTAGTGTCTTTATAGCTGCGCCCGCGCCTGGGATCGACTCAGTACCCCACTTCAAGATCCTTACATCCGCTTCGGTCCTGCTGTTTTGCACACTCGCCCGAGATTACTCGCAATACCAGTCCGATCGGGCCTAGGATATATAACGTCGACTTTTGTCAGCATGCTGCTATCTTTCGACCACGATCCAGCTCCAGACACACGTTACTGAAGTTTGGCCGGATCTTCCCGAGTGGATATCCTCACATGCGTCGGAAGGGACCTTGAAGATAGATGGCTACTTGCCAAGCTAATCTACTACCAGACACTTAATTCGACATCGTCGCGTCCACCGCCAGCTGTGTCGTAACGCATAACTCCGGTACAGTTACGAAGAATCTTCTGGTGTAATGGCCTCGAAGGTCCCCATCTCCCTATTGCCCTGGCGATTGCGCTCGATCAGGCTGTCCTTAATAACCACGACTGTTTGAGCGCCGGGCTCCTCCTCTACAGAAGGGAGTATGGGGACAGGCAGATCGTCTTGCAGGCCAGATGACCTCACGTTTCCCCACACCCTTCCTCCGGTAGGCACCGCAGCCTTCGCCCATATGTACGCTGTTTTGTCCATTCCCCTCAGCCTGAGCCCAACGACTGTGTGCAGCTCTTTTGTAATCTTGGGCTGGACAACAACGCCTGGTCGCCATAGCTGGGTTTTCTGTGGATCCGAAAAATTCCGGATTGCAATACTCGTGCGATGGGCGATTACTGCTTCTTGTATGACGAGACCAGTACCGGAATGTACAAAACGTCGAGGCAGTATGCTGTTAACCACGCGACCTTCTTCTTCGTATGCACAATCCGTCAATCTGAATCGGAGTGCGGGATCCAGCCCAACGATTGCGTCCGGGAACCTCCCGCAGTCGATGGTACACGACGAGCCCGACTCGAAGAAGAGCTGTATTGCGGGAAAGAACGTGTTCAACGTCCAGTAAATAATCTCTGGGAATAGTCAGCTCTGCCATCCTCTCGCACTACGCATTTGGTAGACGCGCTCTCGTTGATCAATTGACTAGCTAAATCGGTTTTGTCCAATGCCGCTGTGTGTTCCAGACTGACAGTCCGCGGTATGAAAGCGCCATAGTCCGTGGTAGAAACGGTCGTCGCATCCGATCCTTTTGCCTCGTCATCTTGCATGAGGACCTCGCTGAGCTGGTCCCGAGAGCTCCAAAGTCTTGGGAAACTGCGGCGCTGTGCTTCTATGAGAAGATTCTCTGTTGGGCATTGGTAATAGTCCATGCGGCGGAAGCAGCTCGTGTTACCGAGAGGACATCCGCCGGATAATGGATGCTTGTATAGTGGTCTTGGATTGCTATGAAAAAAATGCAATTGATGTTTGTGTGTTGCGATAGAGCTACGCAAAGATGTGCCCAAGAGAAGAGGTGTAGAAGCGCGCTTGCGTGCGCGCTGCGAATATGATGACTCCACTCTTATTGGAAGGAAGGAACTTGAGATGACCCACACTATGGAGAAAGGTCGCCCAAGAATTACCGTGAAAGAGCATCCAACTCCCCAACACCTAACATCGCGGCATATGGAAGGTAAGTTCATCGGGTCTTCGCGATGGTACCAGCAACGTGCGGACAGGGCGTTCATCACCTTTTCAAGCGACCGTCTACACTTTTAGTCCTGTTTGGAACACAAGCTCATATATTGCTTGTTTCTCTCTCATGAAGAGACGTCACGCAAGGGTCATGACTGCTGAACGTCGCTGCCGCGCACGCGTCTGGTGCTGACCTGCTCAGACCATTCCTAATCAGGAAAGGACGCAAAACACCCAGCCCTGGACCAGTTGACATCAAGTCCTTCAAGGTTCCTCCGCTCCAAGAAATTGTTATCACCTGATATACGCAACTTCTTTCAGCTCCATATTGCCGTCGCACACGACGACTTCATCATGCAAGCGCCACGGCGCACCTACCCCAGTCTCCTTGCTATCCTGCGTCAGCCCTGGCTCGCCTCACTGCACACGCGCATCGCATCGGATGCCTCATCTACACGGAGTACCGGTTTCTGCATGCATTCAAAGCCGTGGGATGTTACACAAGATACTGTCCCGTCAGCTGTGTGTAAGACGGGACGTGCCATGTTGCCCTACCATTATGCTGGAACGCTTATGCGCTTGAGCGTGGGATGAAGGCAAAGTAGCGGTGACTACGCGAGACTGCTGATTATCAAGGCTTGCTCACCGGACCATGTTGTCAGACGTGCAAGTTTCAGCAAGCTTCCTATCACGGTCCATGGGTAGCGATAGTGCTGTCAGCTGCTCAACCCAGTGGCAGACGGAGACGGAGCACGGCGACACCGTTGTCTGCGCATGTATTCGCTACTTGCCGGCAGAAGCAACACGAACGCCACGCGGATAGGGCACGATGCAAACACACCGATTGGCTTACACGGCTTACTGCAGGCCTTCAGTCGACAACCTCGCCGCTATGAGTGGTTGCCTTTGCCATTGAGTATGTTGCTGGCGATGTAGGGCAGAGCCATTCGCAGAGCGGGCTTATGTGTGAGCCTTCACGCGACTGGTTATTTACGCACTTCAATGTTTTCGAAATACAACCCCATGACGCTTCATGGTCTCCGTCTAGTGAAGCGTCGTTCCACGGCGGAAGTCGGCACTGGTACTTCCTACAAGTCGCAGAAATCGGACGAACCACAGGGGCGGGATACATTCCTATTGAGCAAGGGAGTTCATAAGTCTGCGACACTCCCCGGCTCTTCGGATGTGGCTGAGAATATGTACCGGAAAGTTTGTGTGCCCTTTTTCGTGGGGGGTTCTACCAGCCGTTCCATGTGCTACACCGGTCAGTGGCTTAAGGGCCATGCAAACACGCTAATCCAATCATGGAAGACATCAAGGCCGAGCCCTCGCTGCGACCTGTGTTGCTATTGGATGTGCAGAGAGAATTCGGAGGAGTGCGCAGGCCAGGATAACAGCACGGACGAGCACTGCATTGTCGTGTGATTACCATGAAGGACGATTTTCGAAAGTATTGAATTCAACATTGCTACAACACTGACAGGTCCGAACAGACTGGAAATACAATTTGAATCAGATATCCGCCCACTGACTGCTATGCGAAGCTAAACGTACGCTTACAGAAATTGAGAAAAAGCCACCAGAACGCTCGAAGCGCTATACAGCCACTGCTGGTAACGACGTCGGCAGGGGGTACAATTGCTTTTTGCAGCCTCGTAACGACAGATAACGCCCACCATACTGACTGTGAACGAAGGAACGGTCAAATTGAGATAACGCCGCTAGAAATATGCGAAAGTACGCTCAACGCCAAGAGCAATGCGAGAAGATGCTCGGAAGCAATTGTGATGACCTCTTTTGATGGACAGAGATAGACATCGTGTTTGCGTGCGTAACTCAGAGAGAGTTCTCGGTCTTGACGAGCTCGTCAAATGCATCACGCCACCTGCGGACTTCGTCCTTGCCAGGCCTGGGGAGGGGCTTGCGAGCGTATCCTCCGTATCCGAAGTGAGCCATTAGTCCGGCCTTTGTTCCGATGATACCACCCTGAATGGCAGCCCAGTCGCCTCTGGCTACTATAGCCTGGAGCTTGCGGGCTTCTGCGAGCTTGCCAGCTTCAAATAGCTCAACGAGCTTGACGCATGTCTTGGGTGCGATGTTGGCCATGCCGCCAATGATACCGGAACCGCCTCCGACCAATGTCTGCAGTGTGAAGTCGACGGATCCGCCCATGCACATGAAGCCGGATCCAGGATCAGAGCCGGTGGCTGCTCGGGTGGCTGCTGCGATGCGGTTCAGCTTTCCTGTGTTGCCACAGGTCAACTTGCAGCCGACTATGTTGGGATGTTGAGCCAGCTCGATAATGATATCTGAGTTGAGATCCATTCCAGAGACAGCACCAGGGTAGTTGTAGATGAGGATGGGGATGGGCGAAGCAGTGGCTACATCCTGGAAGAATTCCTTTACGGTATCCTTCGAGAACAAGCCCTGGTAGTATGCTGGTGGAAGCACCAAGGCATAGTCTCCGCCAGCAGAGGCTGCCTCTTCGCAGAGTTCGATGCATTCCCGGGTCGACTGAGCACCGCATCCGACAATTACAGGCATGTAGCCAAAGCCTGCGTCATCGAGAGCTTTGCGGGTGGTGTTTGTGATAAGGTCGCGTTCCTTGTGGGAGAGATGGACAGCCTCGCCATTGGACCCTTGAGTAGTGATACCGGCAACACCAGCTTTGGCTAGACGAACGGCGTGGCTGGCGGTAGTTTCAACGTCAACGTTATCTGAAGTTGGTTCGAAGAACGCTACAGTAGGAACGTAGATGCCAGGGACCAATGACCGCCGGATACCAACATCAGTGGACTCCATTGAGCTGGTGTCGAAGTCGGTGTATCGGTTCATAGTGTAGACGGATTGGACAGGATGGTGGAAGCCGGAATCTTGAACGAAGCTATGTGCGGGAGAAGGTGCGTCGGTGTGCGGTGACATGATAAGAAGAGTTCGGATGTGGACGTCTAGTAGACTTTTATACTAACAAAAGCTTGCAGAGAGAAGCGGGACTTTTGACAAAGAATAAGCGGAACGCAGCAACGACGAACGGAACGAATACGTCAATGGTTGATCGATGTTTGGTAACACCCCGAGGATAGTACAGGTACTTAAATATTTTCAAACGCCGGACACTTGACCTTGCAATGGGGAGTGTGGGGGTCCAGCTGACGGCGTTGTCAGGAGTGCTAGTGACGGCAGGCAAAGCAAGGTGCGTGAAGTGCATCAGTGAGGGATGGGCACTGGGCAGGCATCTTTGGTGACGACCAAAGGGGCGGTGACTCCCGCAGCCTGCTCGAGGTGCTGCTCTGCACGTAGCCGATACCAGGTACAGCTGTTTGCGCTTAGCTGTAGGGGTTGCGCGTGGCCAATAAACGCGGCGAGGATTGCTGATTGAAGCGGCGTTTGCTTTTTTGCTCACGTTGCATCAAGCGAGCAGGGGGTGAGAGGCTGTGAACATCGGATCTTGGCCGGACGTGAAGTGCAAGGGGGGAACGCCTTGTGACGATCTTTTGGAATCCTGGCTGCAAGCTGATAGGGTAATTCTCGCCACAGCTGGCACCATGCGAAGGGTTGGCGGGCTCGAAAGAGCGTTGATGGATACCGTTCGGGGGTGTTAGTGTGGGGGTGGGGGAATCGTGGCCGGCCTATTCGCATCATCTGATTCCGTTCAGCATCCCCAGCCACCCCGTCTTAACCTTCGTGGTCCCAGTCGGTCCAGCCGTCTAGCTCGGCGACCACTCGGACGTGCAGTAGAGCAATGCAAAGGGTAAGAGAAACCAAAGGATTCCAGCGGTGCTGCAAGACGTGGCAGACAGCATGGAGGAGAAGCTTGTCACAAGGCCATGCAATATCCGCACCGAGGCAGTCATCCATATCCGACCGCCGTAGGGCCACCTAAAACGGACCAAAATAGCGAACTTATCAGAGGATGCATCCCATGTCTCATCATTACAGAGCCTGGCCAGGATGACGACGCCGATCGCTCGAGGTATTTCACCCCACGCCCATTACTCTTGGTGGCGGGGTCTGGCCATAGCTCAAACCTTGAGGCTCTTCACCACAACATGTTCCCGCAAGGGCGATTGTGTACGAGTCGTGCTGTGGACACGACATTGTCTGGTTCGTATATCCACCAATCCGCACATGGAAGGTGTTTGCACTGCTGTATGTGCAAGCCACGACCAAATTGCACGCCAAAAGCATCAAGCCAATGGCACCATTATGAGCAAAAGCATCGCGGCAATGTGCCGAACGCCGTTTCGGCAACTGCAGCAGGGACGAAAGCCCTCAGCATGTTCTCGCGCATTGCTTTTGTTTCCAAGACTTAGGTTCAAACGCGAGCAGGATAATGCTTGAGACGCCTCGCTCATCGTACCTGATTCTCGGTGGATCTTGTTGTGCCCCCACGCGATGCCGTGGCAATTCGCTTCGGCACTCAAAAACACCGCGAACTT